GAATAATATCGTTCCAGATGGCGCTACATTCAGTTAATTTTTTTTATTGTTAGAAGTAATAGCTGCTCATTACAAACAAGCACACAAAAATATTGCTCATATCCAAGGGTCGCCCCTGTTGGTAGTTTGGTATATTTGATTCCAGAGTTGCTGAGCAGATACATACTGAGAAATTTCCTTTACCAAATTTAGAAGCCTATGATTTGATTCATTTAGAAGTCTTTTTTTAATCACAGGGATGTCCTGACATGTCTTTAATTTACAGAGGGTAGTTTTCCTGAAGCAACTGAGCAGTGGCTTGCTACTTGTGACCGGTAAGAAAATCCTTGGATTTTATATTCTCTGAAACTTGGCTTACTTACTTACTTACTTAAAGATTTTATTTATTTGACAGAGACACAGCGAGAGAGGGAACACAAGCAGGGGGAGTGGGAGAGGGAGAAGCAGGCTTCCCGCAGAGCAGGGAGCCCGATGCGGGGCTCGACGATCCCAGGACCCTGGGATCATGACCTGAGCCGAAGGCAGATGCTTAACGACTGAGCCACCCAGGTGCCCCTGAAACTTGGCATTTTTAAATGTACTTTTGCTTCCACCTACATGGAAGTTCCAGTGTTGTGAGATTATGTGCCCCATTTTATTGTCTTGAATATACCTGAGTTCTAAGGGAGCTGGTATTTAAGTTTTGTGTGGCCACATAGCACCAAGTAACTGCCACCTAAAGTGCAGAATGGTTGGCTGTTAACCCCAAGGAATGATCCTGCATAAGACTTGTAATTGGTCTGCCACTTGGAACCAGAGTACATTTGCCAAACAAGTTAAAAAGTGAACTGTTCACTCTGGAAAGCAGTCCTTGGTTGAAATTTGTCAGGGACCTATGGCTTTGGCCAACGTGTATGAGTGACTATGCTGTCTCCCAGCTTGGGTGACTTAAGATTTGAGGAAGGGGGAGCCTTGGACAAACTGACATCTTGAAAAAGTCTGGATGCTGGCTGTAAAAAGGGCAGTTTGAGATTTCTTCAGCTGAACAGAAAATTCAACACACCAGGTTTCTTTAAATCCAAACTCTGTTCTTAAATCTTTGCTTTCTCTTTCCCTCAATATATTGATTTTTCCCCCCTTAGGACCTCTGTCCCTCAATCGAGTTCCTCTGCGTAGAACACACCAGAAATTCGTCATTGCTACTTCTACTAAAATTGATATCAGCAGTGTGAAAATCCCCAAACATCTCACTGATGCTTACTTCAAGAAGAAGAAGCTGCGTAAGCCCAGACACCAGGAGGGTGAGATCTTCGACACCGAGAAAGAGGTAAGCTGCTCTTTCTGTCTTGGCCTCTGATAGCTCCAGCTTCCCTAGGTGGGAGTGAAAACAAAGTTTTCACGAAGAATTGACAAAGAAAAGTTGTTAATAATGAGGAATATCTGGGGAATAATATCGTTCCAGATGGCGCTACATTCAGTGATTCTTAATGGCAGCTGAAAGCTCGCTCAGAATCTTATTAAGATTTTATTTGACACAGTTTGACAGAGAGAGCACAAACAGGAGGAGCAGCAGAGGGAGAGGGAGAAGCAGAAGCAGGCTCCCTGCCGAGCAGGGAGCCCGATGCGGGGCTCCATCCCAGAAACCTGGGATCATGGCTTGAGCCAAAGGCAGATGCTTAACTGACTGAGACACCCAGGCTCCCCTAACTCTACTGTTCTATTGGGCGTTCCCCCCAATATCCTTGTTTGTCCTTTTTTTGGGAAGGGGAGGGAAAGAATCTTAAGCAGGCTCCATGTCTAGCTCAGAGCCCCACATGGGGCTTGATCTCTCAACGCTGAGATGATGACCTGAGCCAAAATAAGGCTCAGACGCTTTACTGACTGAGCCACCTAGGCGCTCCCACCCTTGTTTATCTTTGATACGTATTAAAGTAGACAAAAGGAAAAGAGCTACTGTTTTACTATATTAAAAACAAGGTTATACTACTCCACAGCCCTCCAAGGAAAGGATTATCAGAATATCCCTGGGATTGAGTACTTGTGCCCTATTTTTAAATGATTTTTTCTTTTCTTTTTCTCCCCCTAGAAATATGAGATTACAGAGCAGCGCAAGGTTGATCAGAAAGCTGTGGACTCGCAAATACTGCCAAAAATCAAAGCTGTTCCTCAGCTTCAGGGCTACCTCCGCTCTGTGTTTTCTCTCACAAATGGAGTTTACCCTCACAAATTGGTGTTCTAAATTTCTTACAAAGAACGTAATTAAATAACTGATCCATTTCCTTTGTGTCTTTTTTAAAATTTTTATCTGCCTAGAGGTGTGGTTGACTCAGCCAGCTTGTGGGATCTGAACCTCTCCTGAGAGGAGTGGGATTTGGGAGGGTGGTACCAGTACAATGGGACCTCCTCTTCTGTTTTGGATCAGCATTTTAAACTTCCTTAGTGTCTGGCTTATCATTCAGCACCCACCCATATGAAATAGCACCATTTCCCCGGGCATCACTGAACAGGTCAGTACTGGACCATGAGGACAAGAAACAACTCTGCTTTTCAGGCCACAGACTTTTCCTTCTTTTGACGACTATCCATTTCTCCCTCGTCGGCCCAACTCCTAATCATTGCTGTTAGTCTTGTGTATCTAGTTTTTTAAAAGCATACACAGCAAATGGGTATAATGATTTACTATCCCTTTTTTTTTTTAAGCCAAAAACCTCGTGTGCTATACATACTGTTAACCAGATAACAATCTGTTTTGGGCATTCCGTAAAGTCTGTTTTCACTGATGCTCAGGGTAGTGTACCATTATATGGATATTTGGGTTTACATCATTTGTTAATTGTATACAAAGTAGTAAATTCAAGTGTGCACACAGGTAAGTATCAGGTAAGAACTGTTTTTGGCTGAGTAAGGATTTATGCATTTTAATTTTAGTGGATTGTGCTCCTGTACAAGAGTGTCCGTTTCTCCACGGGCTCCCTTGAAAAACAGGTCATCAGACTCAGGGTTTTGGCAGTAGATGAGTGGAAGATGGCCTTGGTGGGTTTTTGAAGTTGCTTTTGTTGACAGTTTACATTAGGTGAGAATTTTGAGCGTGTAGTTGTGTGACACCTGTGCAGTTGGGTAAGCATCACCACCACGAAAGTTCCCTCATGCCCATAACGTCCGCTCCCACTCCAGGCAGTCCCTGATCAAACTTCTGTTCCTATAGTTTCACTTTTTCAGAATGTCCCACAGTATGCTTCTTAGCAGAATGTTCCTGAGATTTGTTCATATCCATGGCTCAGTAGTTCTTGTCCGTTGTTGCTCCAGTAGATCCTTATATCACTATCCTAAAGTTCACCCAGTCAAAGACATTTGGGTTGTTCAGGATTCCTGGAGATAATGAATAAAGCCACTATCAACATTCACATACAGGTTTTTGTGTGGGTATGTTTTCATTTCCGGTGGGTGAAAACGCAGGATTGCTGGGTTATATGGTCAGTGCGTGTTCAACTTTGTAAGAAACTGGCAGACTTCCCCATTTTGCATTCCACCTGCAACGTGTGACAGTTTGAATTATTCCACTTCTCAGAACTTGGTATTTATGATTTTTCGTAATTGAGATAAAATTGAATACCGTCAGTTGGTGTACAGTTCAGGGGTATAACGTAATGGTCACTACCATAAGTCTAGTTAACATCCATCACCATGTGTAGTTAGAAAATCTAACAACTTATAAAATCTAGCAACTTTCAAATGATACAGTATTAACAGTAGTCCCCATGCTGTATGTTACATCCCCATCCCCATGATTGTCTTAATTCTAGTCTCACCACTAGGTATATAGCATGTGCTCTGATACATTTTTGAAACAAATCCAAACTTGCCACTTCTGGCTATGGTCTCTTAGTGGTTCTTTTTCACTTCCAAAGTCATTTTGGCCCCAAGGCCCTCCGGCCCATTTCTTAAGCCTACTCTTCCTCTCTGCCCTTCAGACACCAGTTAGGGAGTAGATACCCCAGGTTACCCCACTTCTGTCTGACTTGGTTACCTTACAACCCTCATCAAGTTCAATGTTTATGATGACTTGAAAACTCAGAAACACCTGATTGCATTTGTTATTAAAAGGGATACAACGCAGAACAGCCTAATGGAAGAGCTCTAGAGCACAAAGGTAAGGACAGTGGGGGAAGCATGGATTTTGCATGTCCTCCCCAGGCAAGGCTCTCTCCCAGCACCTCTTCACCAACCTGGAAGCGCAACAAACCTTGTTGCTCAAGTTCTTTGTTTTGTTTTTTTCCCCCAAGAGTTTTTGCAGAGGTTAATCTCCAGCTGCTTCTCCACCCCAATCCCAGGCCCACCACCCTGCACTGCCTTGCCTTAAGTCTAGGGAGGGCTGAAAGTTCCAACCCTCTCAGTTGGACTTTCTGGTGACCAGCGCCATCTTGAGGCTGGGGTCCTATCCTAAGTCACTGCATTAGCATAAACTCAGTTATGATCTAAAGGAGCTTCTTAACAGTAACAAAAGATAACCCTATCACTGGGGAAATTCCATGGGTTTTAGGAGCTCTGCCAGGAAGCAGGGACAAAGACCAAATATATATTTTTTTAATGTTTATTCATGAGAGACAGGCAGAGGCAGAGGGAGAAGCAGGCTCCC